GTCCTCTTTGACCTGTAGAATTTAAACGATTATATTTGATGTAACAAAGATTTTAATCGCAAAAAGATCCATCTCAATCGATTCACCCTTGCTAATAAGTTAGAATCTCCTTGATCTCATGTTTAACTCACTGAGGACCATGAGGGTACCAGTATGCCACATGGTGTACGTGCCATTTTTCGCACTATGTACCATTTGAAATATTAATTTTTTTTCCAGTTGTATTATATAAGTTGCTGAAGGAGAAATAATAATTTGACTTCGACAGGTACAAATTTCTCCTTATGACAGTCCACAACACTGGACAAAAAAGTTACCATTTTTTCAATTCATTTTACTTTTATTATTTTTTAACGTCAACTTACAACTTCAGTATGTGTTAAATATATATATTCCGACAGAGAATTAAAAGCTGTATAAAACCCAGTATATTACGATTTAAAGTTGATGTTCAGAAACAAAAGAAAAAGTAAAACAAATCAGAAATGTAGCAACTCTTTTTTCCACTAGGTACTGTAGAAACAATCTATTTATTACCGTTCTATTGAAGCACGATGATACCTACACGAGAATCTACCAAAAACATGATCGTCAGTGTTTGCAAGATGACTGAAGCGAAGAGCGTTGAAAGAGGACATTTATTATGCAACAACATCATTCAACCGACGCCCGTCATTTTGTTTCTTCCTCCGTTCCTTTCGCCCTCCGGCAAAAGAAACCTCGGTTCTCGTCGTTTTTCTTTTTTCCGAACCGTGTATTTATTACTTTCAACCAGGGAATATCGAACGAGCGTTTTTGCGGTCGATACACGGCTCCGCGGGGCTAGAACCCCGTGAGATATTGCCCGGCTGGGTTTCGCTGCTTATACTATAAATTCATGCGTTTCTTTCCGGCTAATCGTCGATTTTGTATTAAAATCGTGGATTTATCGGGACTCAACGGTGCTAATGTAACAAGGTAGTTTATAGCGATTCCCTTATTTCCTGGTAGAGTATTCGCTGTTTAAAATCGCGACGCGTCGACCTGTTTATTTCGCAGAGGAACGACGAAGAGGAAGAAGAGAAGAGAAATGAACGACTACGTAATGAAATAACAGCAGCAACCGTTTCATTGCTCTCTACAGGCACATTGTCAGTTTAAAGCTAGGGTATTATAGAGGGGGAATACTTTGGTCAGGAAGGATACCTTATTTATTTAGGTGCAATATAGAAGACTGTGGTACTGGTTAGTGACCAGAGAATGAAATAACAGGAGGAACGTTTTCATTGCTCTCTGTAGTCGCATTGTCAGAGTTATGATGTTATAGGGAGGGAATACTTTGGTTCCTAAGGATACTTTATTTATTTAGGCGAATTGTATAAGACTATGGTACAAATTAGTGACCAGACAATGACATAACAATGACTGTGCACTGTTTCTATATCCATTTTTTTACGTTCAAGAGAAATTGATAGGTAGAATTTATGCAACAGAATGCATTCTTATTTATGGCAAGAAGTATACACATTGGAAAGATATTGACTTTATGTTCAATATTAGTCACACTTTTGAGTGTGATCCACGACGAACAAAAAATTAAGCTCTGCTACTTTTTCCACGTGTCGAATCTTATTAAGTAGAATTTCACAGTTTAGTCAGGCAGAAAATTTCAAAATCGAATTGAACCTACATATCTCAAACATTCTGAAGAAAAATTTTTCAAAGCAAATTATTATACAACTTTGACAGGAATATCATTTTCCACAGCTCCGATGCACTTGTTCCAAAGCTTCGATTTCATTTTCGATCAGTCCGTTCTTAAATTGTTTATCGCGTCACTCACAGCGAGCTATTTCAGCGAATCGAAAATTACCGTGGCCGATGGAGAACAAAAATCTAAATATAGGAAGAAAGAACGTTGCGGCGCGTTTTTCAAAGTGACAGGGAAGGGAATTTGCTGGGAAACTCGTCGACCGACCACCAATTTCCTTCCGTTTTCTGTTCCCCTATTCGTACGTCCCACATTTTCGTTCGGAAAACCGAACCCTGAATGCGCGCGCGCTCGATTCTCGTTCCCAACGCCGGATATTAGAGTTTTATTGTCGCGAGACACAATTATGCCTCCTCTGTTTGCCGTCGTTTCATTGTTTTCGCTCGGGTTCCATCTTTGACGCTCGTAGCTCTTTTAATATTGGAAAATGCATTCTATATTCGCAGTGACTGCCAATTTCGGGATAATTAGAGAACTTGGAGGAATGAAAAGGGGTATAATGTATCTAATTTAGTAAATTTTTTTTTTATTATTTTGAGCATTTCAATCCTAAATTGAGGCTTACACCTGCTTTGCATTAAGAATTGGGGAAACAAAGGGATTTTGTACCTTGCGATTTATGCATAGTCAGTGTGTCACTTTATACAGTTTTATTACATTGTATGAGAAATTTGAATATATTCTCAGAAACTTGCGTGTTTCGGCTATTGATTAAGTACTCCATTTGGAGCCCAATTTAGTAATATTTATATTAAATAAATTTTGAAATATGCTACAGTGACGTCTGTTGACTGGGTAACATTTCGAATTCCTTCTTTTATATTGGACTTGACGTCATGGATATATTGATTCAATATTACGTAAATAATAGATTGTGGATGTTTATGTAACTGTTGGTCTGGAAATACAATAACTATGAACGGAAATGATTCCATGCAGTTTAATAAGCGTGAATGAAATGTGACTTGTTTTAATACACATAGGTATTTTGGCAAAATTTGATACGTGAGATTTTTAGTGAGCGAACATCAAAATAAAAATCAAATAGTACCTTCTAGATAACTATGAGATAAAATATGGTTAGAAAGCCTACTATTATTCTGTTTCTTTCGTTGTATGAAAATTTGTCAACGATTTTATTTATAGCACAGAAGATGGTCAATGCAAAACTTCTACTTTATATTGCAAGTCTAGGAAATACTGGTTGTTTGTGTATTTTTTATTTTACTAACGCTGGCAGGGAAATAAATTTATCAATTAGCCAAAGGTTGACATGTATGGAGCTACGACTGTTTCGAGTAATTTTCGGTTCACTATGCAGTTACGGCACGTAACTCCGCGTAATTACATTGTAAAGCCTCCAGTGTTTGTTAACAAGTTCGAACTGCATGCACCAGGCGTAAAATACACTCGGGGGAAGGACAGAAGTCACACGGAAATCCCCATAAATTTTGGACAAATATTGAACGTGTTAACGAGCGAAATCAAAGGAGCGTAATTTTACCGAACACACATTCACGAAAGTTAAAGCAATTCGATCGCTCTATGGCAGCCGAATTTCTTACCGATCTTCAACCGTCTGTCTTCGGAACAGTCTATAGATCCAAAAGAATATCAGGAACATGAAAATAATTATACTTGTAGTAAAATTAATAACAGCTGCAGAATATTCTAAATTCTGGCTGATATTTCAAGAGAAATCATTTCTCCATGAAAGAACCCGATATTCCATTAACCCCTTGCTTTATAACATCGTGTTGACGAATACAAAAAGGGTTTAATAAACCAGAGTGCTATTCCTTTTCTTTAAGTCGACGAGAAATACTCTTTTACTAGTATTAATATTTAACTTTTCGAGTTATTGCACACTTGCAATAAATACAGAATATATTTTATTCCTGGGAAATTATTGACGATAAAGTAATTCTAGAGACTGTAGTCGCCGAAAAAATCCTAAGGCAAGGGGTTAAGAGTGACTTGAAGACCAACCTAAGTGAAGCAAACAACATCGGAAAATAATAATATTCCATTTACATTATCTTTATAAGACAAGTGGTCGCTAATGACTTTACAGTTAATGGGACCACACCAAATAAACCATAAATAAATAAATCAAATAAATTCCCAATTACGCATACATCAACAGAGTGTAAATTAGTGACCAGACAATGAAATTGAAATTGAAAATGAATACATCAACCGAGTGCATTCTCCAATCCCTTCAAAACTATTCTCACGTTTCCGAAAAAAAAAAATCCAAGAAACTCGTCGTCACTCCCATTCAGACTTTCAAGCATGCATTCGCACCCAGTTTCACAACCCCCAAACAAGAATCGATAGCCCCGAAAGTAACTTCAGAATTTTTTCCCCGAACCCGCGAGCGCAATATCCCGAAATAGTAACCATAAAGGGGAACCACTAGCCGCGTAACTTCCAATCAACGAGGAACTTTCCCCTAGAAGGGCTCGCCACACTCTCCCTCCGCGGAATTACATTTATTGGACTTCCGGAAGAAGGCAGGGTGGGGGGTGGCGTCCCCGATTGTTGTCGAAGGCTTTCTCGAGCGGATTCGTGGCGGTGGCCCGGTTCTCCACGGGAATCCCCTGAAAGAATGCCGGGCCACGAAACCGTCGAGTCATGAATAGATGAGAGCCAGATAAAATTGAAAAGTTCGCCACGGTTCCATAGGGGGATCCTGTACACACGACCGCCACCGCCTGGTAAGTCGCTACTTTCGGCCGTTCGCCGGTGCTTTCGGCCACACAGTCTTCTGGTCCACAGCTTTTACAGTGTTCCCTTCCTGTGTTGGGATTACGTACACGACGGAGTTTATAACCTGGCGGTGCATTCAATCGGGACGCACGCTTCGCCCCGTGATTCCCGATCCGGAAAAGGCGCCTCTTTAGCGACGCGATTTTAGCCACCCCCTACGCCACGGTCTACGTGACCTGATGTGTCCCGGAGACTCTAGTTTCTTTAATAATTTACAGGCGATCCTAGGTGAAAGGGACGGAGATAATGTGACTGCGCGCTAAAATTGTGGAATTGAGGGGTGGGTTTGGGGAATTTTCGATGGGAGTATCTTTTGGTCTTTAACGGATAAAGTACGGGATTTGGTCTTTAACGGATAAAGTAATGGAATGTCGAAGTAATGGAATAATGTTAGGTGGATCGATATGCAGTCTATTTAGTCCATTTATAGTGGGGAGTTACTGGAAAACTATGCACTGTATGAAAAAATGATTCGAGTATGAGGTGAATGGTTTTAAGGGGGACATAATTTGGTGTAATTAGATTTTTGTAGATGGCCAGGTAGAGGTCATATGAAAGTGACATGCTGTTTTTTAATGGGATTATATAGTTTCAAACAGAGTATTCGATCTGTCTCGGTATTCTGTACAGAAAAGTATGGATCTATTTATGTCGAGAAATCATTAGTTTAGGAGATATTTTAACCTCAATGTGAATTGTAATTGTCGTTTCAGAAAAGTGCAGACATGTGTAGGGGAGAATGGGTAGGTTTGGGTCAGTTTTCAATTAGATTGTAGTAATGATTAAAACGAAAGGGAAACACTGTCTAAATCTGAAGAATTATAATTTCATTTTATCATTCCAAAGGAATCTTTAAAAATATAATAGTTGTAAAGCTAGTTATTTGGCCCATACCTCCCTCATGGAGGTATAACTTTTGTGTAGAGAATGGCGTGCTGCGTCGACCAATACCTTACAAAATGTTAAAAAGAGTTTATTACTAAAACTTCTTTATTAAAAGCTTGTGATCCGATCATTCCGTCTGTAATGGATGCTAAATGTCGAATACTCAAGTGGGACATATATATGTCCACTATTTCCTTCGAAGATATGTAATCATTAAACTGCGGATTTTTATGCAAAATGACATTTTCTAAAGTAATTTTTTACTACAACAGGAAAGATAGGAATTTATTTCTTCTCTTAAATATCTCACTGAGTTCAGAATAAAGTAGAGAACACATTACATGTGACGAAAGTTTTTTCTCCTTTTTATCACACAAAGCTCTATTGTCTATAAATGCATAAAATCCGTAGTCTAGTAATCATCCTTCATATCCTTTAAACTAACAAGTTTTTTTTACTTGTTTTTCAGGCAACCATCGCCGGGGTCCGGCACAACCGGTACGTCGACGGTTTCCTCGAGCGGGCCCGACGGGGAGAATGGCCAAAGTATCGGTTTATACCCAGTGGGCAACGCTGGTTCGTCGAACGCGGATCCAGCGACGGTCACACCGATCACGACGACGGCGACGATGCCGTTGGTTACCCCCGGCATCGTTGCTGGATCGGGAACTGGGCCCAGTATCACCAGAAGCGTGTCAGCCCCCACCGCGCCTAGGCCAGTCGTCCAGGTGACTAGTTCCGCTAGCACACCTGGATCACAGAGGCCTAGGTTACGAAGGAACATGAGCCGCACCGAGGCTATTAGGAAGTGAGTCTTCTTTTTCTATCCTCTATTTCTCTTAAATAATAATAAAAACGTAATTCAGAATTTTTAATTTGCTCGATACGAAAAATGCAATTTTTATATTGTAAAAATAATTTTCGAGCGCGAATGAAATTTATATAAAATTGAAATCGCAGTTTCTCGCGAATTTCGAACTAGAACTGTAAAACACTAACGTATCAACGGGTTTTCAGTAAAAGTTTTAGTATGTATAAAAATAACATAAATCTTTGAGATATGATTATTAAATTTTCATTACAGTCGCAGATAAAAGAGTTATAAAAAGGGACTATTTTATTCGCGGTGTCCGTCCAATTGCAACTTTCCCAAAAATTTTTTTGAATCATTTAGTAAACCGATCTTTTTAAATTTACAAAAAGACTCAAGTATCCTGGTTCAATTTCAATAAAGATGTTCTGTTTTAAAGGGTGTGCAGAGACTATTTTGGCAGACTGTGTACCTAAAATTTCCCAGTTGAAATAGATAAAAGTATCCTGACGAATTACAACACGTATATTCTTCCATTTTTCTAATATTTTGCTAAGCTTCTTCTCGGATACACACGAAACAACAAACCTTAGAACATTACGTTACGACAAGGGTCACGATCGTTTCTTCTTGTCTTTGTCACCTGACGTTTCTTTATACCAAAGATTTTTCTCGTTTAATACGCGAATGCACCATCATCACAGGCGAACGACTCGAACGGACGATGTATTTTCTGTTTCAGCTACATCAAACGAGAAACGGCGCAATTCTTCGGCGTGGACGAGGAGTCTGAGACCCTAGAAAGACAAAGATGGTTGGACCGAAGACGGAGAATGGCGTCGAGGAAGTACGGTGCCCTTGTTCCGGAACACAGACCACCGGATCCCGATATTACAAGGGACGTGCCAGATACCACGGATCTGCCAGAGGTAAATTCACTGGTTATTAACCTTTCGGATTTGATGAGGAATAGAGGGTTCGACGAATCTCCAGAAGTCACTTCCATTCAGAGATTTAATTTCAGACTCCAGTAATAACTTTCCTTCTTTAATATAAAGGAATTCTTATGAACTAAATTAGTAACGTTACTGTTTTAATAGAAATCGTGTATTAATTAGACATTATTATGTACTTAATTTTTTTAAGAGTTCATATTTAATTTGCGTCTACTTGCCAGGTTTTATGGGGTTCAGCCCATATTTAATTGAAGCATTTTATGTCAATCATTTTGTTAAAGAACTTGGAAGCTCTGATACCTAAAGTTATACCTGTTTAAATATAACACGTTTTTTAAATACAGTAGGACCCCCATATCCGCGGGGAATTGGTTCAAAGGCCTGCCAGGGATACCGAAATCCTCGGATAGTAGTGAACTCTATTAGATACATATGAACGTTGATGTGTAAACTCAGTTTCCGCAGGGAAAAATAGTTATTTTGGATTATTGATTAATTTATTAATAAATCTATAAAACCAAATGAATTTTAGTCTAAAAATTAATGTTTGAGTAATAGAAACTGTAAGAATTGTAGAATTTCGTGTACTCAAGCGTCTTGCTTTAAGTGGCTCGCAATCTAAGGGTTAATTCCATAAAATAAAATGGTAGCATAGATGATTAATATCATGAAATTGTCTTCAAACTTGTCTTTATTGTAAACGTAGTATAACTTGGAAAGGATCTGTTAATTAAGAGTTTGAAGTCTGTACAATTTGATGTACAGTTCACCAGCCCGGTTGACGACGTTACGATTGGCACGATTCCCGTTAAAACTTCCGTGGAACCGGAACGCGCGACACACTCCGCGAAGTTTTGTAATTGTGAACGTAGTATACTTTTGTTTGCGTTTCACGAAACAGTTTCTGTAACTTGAACCAACGCTCGGTACGGGGAAGTGTATCGTAAAAGAACTCTTTTCTTGGTCCAGAATGAGTTGTCTACTTAGGAAAGTGTATCGAATAACACCCAGACACCGGCCTTTAACGTTTCTTGTACGCATAACGCCGCGCCACTAGCCGTTCAAGCCATTGTAAAATTCTTTTTAAAGAGTTTTCTCATTTTATTGAGCCTGAATGTACGCTAGAGTCCTGTGATTATTACGTTTTTCATTTAATTTCTGTTGAAATGTGTTTGTTATCGCGTTTAACTCTCGAATAGCCACTATTCTTTATAGTGATTGGCCCTTGGATCTAATATTTTTTCATGGAGAAGTGTTATTTTTTTGAAGAGATTATAAATCATTGGTTCAATCGAGAATAAATCAAACTTGTTTTTTCAGGGTGTTACACTGAGAAGATGGCAACAACCAGTGAGAAGGAAAGATTCTGTGGCGAGAATGACGCTTTCGGGTCTCCACTACGTCGTCGAGGTGAGTTTTTCACTATTATCTTCTCGCCTGTAAACACAGGTGACTTGTGGTTCTTTGAATAATTTCTATCGATGTTTTATCCTAGTGTTTAAAATATGAATACCGTATTGTAATTAAATTGTAATTTCAGAAGGGTGAAATTGTAATTGAAGAAGGGTTAAATTGTAATTGGAGAAGGGTTAAATTCTGTTTGAAAAGCGATGAAATCGTAATTAAAGGTTTAAATCGTAATGATGGAAGGGGTAGTCGTAACTGAAGGTGGGTGAAATTGTAATTAGAGAAGATTACAATTATTAAATAAATGCGAGTTAAATCGTAATGAAAGAAAGATTACGTTGTAATTGAAGATGGCTTCACTCGTTAAAGAAGGGTTAAATCATAATGTGGGAAGGGTTAAATCGTAAGTAAAGATGGGTTAAATCATAATCGAGGAAGGGTTAAATCGTAAATAAAGAAGAATTAAATCATAATCGAGAAAGGGTTAAATCGTAAGTAAAGATGGGTTAAATCATAATCTGGAAAGGATTAAATCGTAAGTAAAGATGGGTTAAATCATAATCGAGGAAGGGTCAAATAGTAAATAAAGAAGGATTAAATCGTAAATAAAGAAGTATTAACTCATAGTCGAGAAAGATTTAAATCGTAAGTAAAAATGGGTTAATTCATAATCGAGGAAGAGTTAAATCGACATGTAAGAGTGGTTAAATCGTAGCCAAGAAAGGATTACCGCTTAAAATCACCGAGTTCCCGATCCTTAGATCGACGGAGATCCCGTCGTCAAAGGAAACACAAATCGAGGGGAGCCCCGCGCGTCTCATTTCCGAAATCAAACCGAACGAGTAGACAGTTAATCAGCGTTTCGTTGCCGTTCGACGATGCGCCATTCGGCCGCCGAAACGGGGCTAAGCTTCCCTGCCTTCTCCCTCCCATCGAGTTAAGTTGCGCGTTTCCAAGGAAGCCTGTACGATCATTAAGCTAACGAGGCAGCGGTAACCCTCTTCCGGTTTTCGGGCATCGTCGCGCGCCCCTACCCAGACCGGCTTTGATATCCGGCGAAGTTGCGCCGTCGAGTTACTAATTCCGAATGTGCGTTAATTACGATCGGCAATCTGCGTTCATTAGGAATTTCGCAGGATTTCGAGCTAACGAGGCTGCAATTGATTCCGATACCACCGTGGGCTCTTCGAATTTATTTTACGCCGTTCTTCCATCCCAAAATGGCTGCCCTTCGAAATTTTATACTACAACAGGACCTCAATTAATTAGCTTAATCGAGAGATTGGATAAATCGAGGCCCATTGTATGTACATTTAGAACCGCGAAGGTTTTACAATGAACGTGTTCTTAATGCGAAGTGTTTGGTCACCTGGATGTTAGGTCAAAAATAATAATAGATTTAATGAACAATAATAATATGTAATTCCGAAAAAATATATATTTTTATCCATTGTTAGAATACATACTTTTCGGTACCCCGTTGTACCCCGCGGTAGAAGCAAAACGGTTTTTCTCTGGTTTCTTTTTGAAGATTAATAACTGAAAAGTCTGACTTTATTTTTGTCCTAAGCATGTGTCAAACACTAGACTGTTAACTTATAATTGTATTGAGATTCATAAAAACTTAATTAAAAGTTATAATTATTATTTTATTTGCATTTTTCCTTAACTTCCCCTAGTAAGAGGTGAATGTTATCATTGCATACGTGAACCCAGATAACTGAGACCCTGAATTGATCGCGATTTTTTTTCGAAGAACACTAAATCCGAGTAAAACAAGAGAAATCAATCGAGACCTCGTGTTTCGAAAACTCTTCGCTTTTAAATTATCAAAGTTTCCCCAGTTGCAATAAACGTTTACGTAAATCAAACTTTAAACTCCTGGCGTGTTTCTCTGCGAACCTCCGTCGGTCGTTAAAGTTTTTTCATTAACACAGGGATCAAATAATATTCCACAGAAACACAAAATGATGGAGAAGGGGATAGGGGGCAACAGTTTCACGAGTAATTATGAATTGCGTGGCGGACGCTTCGTTTAATTATGCCTCAAGAATTCTTCGCCCCCCGCCGTTTTTTTTTCCTTTTCCTCCTCGTCGTCTGAGGGGGTGGGTCGCGTCTTTTGTTACGGCCCTTGCCTGAAAGTACACAACAAGTTTCCATTGAGTGAAACAATCTCGTTTCGCCCATAACTTGTAGCCGGGGAATTCCAGGGTGAATTTTCATCTCCCTCTCTCTCTGGGAAACTGGCTTGAAAGTTATCTCATATCTTGTTGCTTAATTAGTTTTTTGACTTTGTCTCGGGGATCCCATCGTAGATGCTCGCGCGGAGATACGAAGGAGATGTGGAAGTCGAATAAATGAAACCTTGGTTCGAATTAATAGAGGGTAACGCTCGAGAACCGGGGAAAACCGTGTCTCTACCCGCTTTACCGAGTAAAAACTGTTAAAATGACTCGTCCATTCGCCTTCGTATCTGAAGTGAAATTTAAATGGAAAATGGAAGTAATCTTCTTGGGGCGGTCTTAGAGGACAACGAGTTCGTGGTAATGGCGCGACGTTTTTTCGAAAGTAAAGTTCGATAAGTAATCCTTCTTCATTCAGATCTTCTGTGGAATTTAGTTTAACATTTACGAAACAGAAAATATTTGAAATTATCGAACAACAGTGATCTCATTTATTTTCACTTAAAAGTTTGCTGAACATTCTACTGACCCATTTAGAGTTTCTTTCACAGAGTATCCGATTTAAAATTCCTTTCAATATTCGTGAAAATGTCTTAACGATAAAATGGGTTGGTTTGTAAAATTTTACATTCGATGTTCAATAGATTTCCTATATAATATTGAGATTATTGTAATATCCAGAGGATCAGAAAGACGTGGAAGTATTGTAATTCTTCTTCATTCGGATCTTCTGTGGAATTTAGTTTAACATTTACGAAACAGAAAATATTTGAAATTATCGAACAACAGTGATCTCATTTATTTTCACTTAAAAGTTTGCTGAACATTCTACTGACCCATTTAGAGTTTCTTTCATAGAGTATCCGATTTAAAATTCCTTTCAATATTCGTGAAAGTGTCTATTAACGATAAAATGGGTTGGTTTGTAAAATTTTACATTCGATGTTCAATAGATTTTCTATCTAATATTGAGATTATTGTAATATCCAGAGGATCAGAAAGACGTAGAAGTATTGTAATTCGGATGCAAAGTGTCCTATTTCTCGAATTTCATTATCGTTTTTGTCTCTGAACTTACACGGTGGGTATTGAGTAGAGATATCGAGGAAAACATTGAAGCATCGGTTAATTATTTAATCAACAGGACAAAGTGAATTGCGCTCGCGACGCGTAATAGGTTCTTCCTTCTCGCTTTTCAGTCTGTTCCCAGCAAGCAAATCTCACGTCCGACTTCCAACGGAGAGTGACACTTCTGTCGCTTTATATCGCGCTCTGAGCATAAGCTAACAGCGAACAGACAAAGAAAGTAGATTTAAACTAGGGGACAAGGACAACATGTAAACACTCTTTGACATTTTTCTTCGACGGAAACTGCTACCGTCCTTTTATTCGTCGAGTTTCCCTCAGAGTTGCTGGAATCGCTTGGAATTGCCGCGACGAGGGTGCATATAAACAAATATATGTAACTTTCATTCACTCGAGAATAATTCCAGCATAGAAACAACATTTTTCGTTGCATAAATTTCTGATTTTTACAATATAACAATAGAAATAATTAACACGGCGTGTGGAAATAAAGAAAATTTGTTGAATTTATCTGGAATGAATTTTATCTGGAATTGGAGAGAAATTAGTGAATTGTTGTATGCAAAACTGATGTTTCGAATGAGAAAATTTAAACGAATGACGTTTCGAATAAGAAAATGTTAATGAATGAAACATTACTATTTTTATCAGAATAATTCACATCTGTTTGTACATTCTCGATGAATGAGTCACTTAAGTAGGAAGCAATGAAACAAACTTTTTGATAATTTAACTAAATTGTGTGCCTGATCTGTAGGGCGGTTATTCAACTTTCTACTGTCGTCCGAATGATTCTACCGAACACAGCTTCGTGCCTTTAAGCACAAAAAGGACAGTGAGTGATATGGACACGTTAGAAAATCGTAGACGGAATCTGATAGAAAGACGGTATATTCTGTTATGCCCCGGTTGCAATACACTTCTGGTCTTGCAACGGACGTTTCTAAGGTATCGTGACTCGCTCGATCTGAATTCGCGCACAGACACTTGTGCGCGACACACGCGTGCAATGCTATATATTAAAATAACTCGTAGGGCGAGCGACTCATTTAAAAAGTCGAGCCGACTTTGAATGCTTGATGAATATTGCCGATCTTCAGATAATCTTTTCACAGACTTGTTTCCTCGGTGTTCGCGTCACTGCACGCGTCTCAAACCGCAGGATAAATGTTGTAAAAAGTTTACTTGGAAGTTTAGTAGATCTATGCTTGAATTTACGGATATGGAAAGTTAAACTGAATAATCAAATGTTGTGTGAATTTTTTCCTACTGTTCTGTATCGTCCTAGTTGTCTGTCTTTTCTGTCTGTTCGGTCTTAGCTGTTCCAAAATGCGGTTTGCAGTTGTGACTCCTCGGTTTGAGGCGCGTACGTTTGAGGATGGTAAAATTGGTTTGCTTCACTCACCAAGTCGGCTTGACTTCTCAACTAACGTAGCGTTATTCGCGCAACGGACTCTGATACTAAACACGACTGTACTGGATCGCTTCCAGACGCAGAGACCGGATCGACGGTCTCGCATCGACCTCCTTCGATCGTCGATCTAGTGGGGATCAATGCGCACGCATCCGCGGTGATCAGGTAGTATCTTCGCACCTCGTGAAATTTCGCATTTTTTCGTACTTGTTCGTGCGACGTTCGCGGATTGTTAGTCCTGAGAGTGGGAGATATAGGATATATATCCTATTCTATAAATATATATATATATATATATCAATTCCCCCAAGAATTTCTCC